TCAATAGAATTGCCTATATCATTAGAGATATAGCATAATTAAATATAACAGTACATAAAAGTATTAATAGAAATACAACTTTGTAGATAGTGTAGATAGTGTAGAACTACAAAAACAGGTAGCAATCAAACCAGAATGGGTATCATAGTGAATCATTGTCATTTTCAGTATAGTTGTCTATACTCTCAGACTTGATACTATCAACCTTAACAGTTTTGAATAAAATCTGTCAATAACAAACAGCAATCAAACATCAGATTTAACTAAAATCAGTCATGATATAACAGTATAAGTTATACAGGGATCCAGATTAAGTCAATAGGAAATTAAAGATGACTACTCTGCTATATCCTAATATTTTTTGGGATAACTGTCTGTGCCCTCAGATCTAGTGCTTGTATACAAACTGGGATGGAATAAGTTCTTTAGTTATTCTCTGCTTAGATGCAGAGTGGGCGAGTAATATGGGCTTTAATTCCTAATACACTATTAGCAATATCTTCTGTTGTCTTTTTAAGACTATTCCTCCCCTTTCACTTCCCCAGGGTGTACTGTGCATTTTTGGGTCTCCTGAACACCCTCAGTTTTATATTGGAGGGGCAACCTGCCATTTATCTAAATGGTTCCGAACCTTCTCACTCCTGGACTTGATCTCTAGTTGTATCTCTTTACCTATTAAAGCCTGTCTTTCCAAGTCTATCCATAAATACTGATCCAGTTGCCCCTATTACTCTCTGGTTCCCTACCACATAGAGTAGTATCTTCTCATGTTTGATTTTCTGTCTATATATCCTTCTTCAGGACAATTATATTTCCTATAAAGAGCATCTCGGTGGACTCTACTTCTTGATCCACTCTGCCTGTGATTCTCTCTTTTTTTCCTTAAGTTAGTGTATCTAGGCCATCTATATTAGAAATTATATCCAACCTTCTCTGCCTCATTTCTGTTGTGCTCTTTTTCTATCATTAGTTGTCTGTTTGTCTTCATTTCGCTTTCTGCTCCAGAAAGGCCTCTGTTGAGGCCTCTCTGCCATTGTTCCTGAAATCCTGTTACTTTTCTATCTCTTTAGAATGTCCTACAGTATTCTCTGTAGAGTTGGGTTGGTGGTTGTGAATTCCCCCAGTTCCTCTTTATCTTGGAAGTATCTTGTTTCTCTGTCTAGAGACAGTTTTTCAGGGTATATCAATCTGGCCTGGAGGTTATTTTCTTTCAGGACTTGGAATGCTTTGCTCCATGCTCTTCTTGATTTGATGGTTTTGCCAAAAAGTCTGCCATATTTCTGATAGGCTGTCTTTTGTAAGTAATCCATTTCTTGTCTCTGACAGCTTTTAATATTCTGTTCTTATATTGGATTTCTGGGATCTTGATTATTATATGCCTGGGTGTAGTTCTGTTTTGGTTGTAGGTGGCTGGAGTTCTGTATGCCTCATACATCTGAATATCATTTCCTTTTTCTATGTTTGGGAAGTTTTCCTTAATTATTTCTGTGAATAGCCTTTGTAGTTCCTTTGTTTGTACCCCTGCTTCTTCATTCACATTCTTTATTCTTAAGTTACAGATCCTCTTGTCATCTTCTAGCCTTTGTGTTGTTACTGCTGGTTTCCTTGTTATTTTTAAGAAATTTTTTCTTTCATGATCCCACATTGCAAACCTGTCCTCCAGTTTGGATAATCTGTCCTTAGTTTCTTTCAAGCAGTTTTGCAAGCTTCCCATGAAGTTTTTAATTTTCTGGTAATCTCCTTGAACCTGCTTCATTTATTCTATGTTTTCTTCATATTCCTCATCAAACGATTCTCTCTTTTTTGTTTTTCCTCCATTCTTCCAACTATGTCTTCTTGAAAGGTGCTTAGCATTTCTTTTATTAATCTATTTATATCTTGCTTTACTTGGTTAAATATTTCACTTTTGAACTCTTCTATGAGGTCCCAAAGATATCGCTTTATGTCCACTGGTACCATGTCTGATATTACATGCTTGCCATCCTCAATCTCCTTTGCATTTACCTTTCCTGGATCAATGTTCTCAGGGTTGGGGGCTAGAGACCCTTTTCTTGTTTCTTCCTCTTCTCATATCTTTTGTTTCTTCCATACAGGTGTATATAGGGGGCCCCAGTTTCTTTCTTTGTTGGTTGCAGTTCATCTGAAGTATGCTGACTAGGTGCTCCTGCCCACTGCATTGTACTATGGAGGTACAAACAGGGGCAGCATATGCTGGGTCCTCCCCTCTGGGTCAGTCAAATTGCTAAGGGCTTCCCTGCATTAGGATGTAACGCCAGGCATAGGGACTTAGTTTGGGCTGACCTATTGGGTCTCAGCCCAGGGCGTGACCCAGGCCAAGCACACCCCACCAATCCTGCTTGAGAAGGGAGCAGCTGACTGAAGTCACTGCTGCTCCTTGTTCTCGCCAGTCTGCCCAGCCCCAGAAGGTTGTCTGTTGCAGCCCCTTTTTCTGTGGATTGTTTTTATTCCATCACTCACCACAGGTCGATGCAGGTTCCCCGCCAGCTCAGCTCTCAGTTCAACTCGCTGACCCCTGACCTCAGCATGAGTGCATCTCCAGTGAGTAGAAGCAGTGGGTTTTTGAGTAGTCTCAGCAAGTCTCAGCTGCACGAGTTCAAGCACTGCAGCAGGAGCACCGAGCCTTTAGCTATTCCAGTAGTAGCACTGGGACAGTATGTTTAATTGGTTTCTCTCAGCTTAGTTTGTTCCTGGGTCGGGAGGATCCATCTCCCTCTGTTCAGGATTCCCCATGCTGTATTATTTTTGGAATTTAAGTTGACTGTCTTATGGTGCCTGCTGTTACTTATCCTTCATCTTTACTGGAACCCTTTTTTTTTTTTTTTGTTATTTTCCTGTGATGCTAGAGATTGAATACATGCTAGACAAGTAAGCGTGCTACTGCTGAGATCTACCCAAGCCCTCAGTTACTATTTTGAACTGAGAAACAGGGTGAATGGTAGTTATTGACACGAGCAAGATGGAAAGAGGAAAAGTTAGGTACTGGTTATTAGTCAAGAAGTTTGGTTGGGCAGGGGATTTAGCTCAGTGGCAAAAGTGCCTGCCTGGCAAGTATAAAGTCATAAGTTTGATCCCCAGTACAAAAAGAAAAAAAAAAGTTTGGTAAATGTTAAATGTAAATGATTTGTTAAATATTTGGGTAAAAAATCTGAGTATTTAGGTAAATTAATCTGGAGTTCAGGAGATAGACTTGAGGTAGGGAGTCAACATGAACAGTAATGCATAAAATTATAAGTAGTTTTGAATTACCTGCCATGTTTGTGTGTGTATGTTTGTGTTGGTGGTGGTAGTGCTTGAGATTAAACCCAGGGACTGAGCTACTCAACCACACCCAAAGGTTCTACAATTTGTTAGATTCTGGTGTGAATATTGTGGATTTCAAGTAATTCTTGCGCTCCTGGAATTTATAAGCTTATAGGAGAGGCTGAGATTAATTTCCAAATTGCAGAGAAAAATATGTGCTAAAGGAAAAGTACACAGGGTATAAGATGAGACCCTAGAGCTCCCCAAGGTTCTAAGTTAAACTGGAAAATTAGGAAAGACTTTCTTGAGTGAGTGACTGTTTTAAACTGTAATAAATTAGGCAAAACAAAAGATAGGTGCTGATCTGCTTCATGTGTCAGGTTGTTGCTTTTCAGCTATATTACTTTGGGTAGTTACTTCTTTGAGCTTCCATGTTTCTGTGGAATGTCATGAACATGAGAAGTCTAATGGTGTCTTAGTGGTAGCAGATATTTAATCAGTGTTAAGTCTCTTCTCTTCACCGTGTAGATTTGTTTTCCTTCTAAGCAACTCAAGTCCTTGTACAGAGAGAGTAATGAAGCATTTTTTCAAACTTTATACATGATAGAAATTCAAGGTGTTATTTTAGTTGTTTTGTTATTAAAGAATATCCAGTGTTGTTTCAGCAAATGTGATGAAGCTTCTGAAATGTGTAAAAGTATCTGGTGGATACTGGGGTTTGTTTAAAATGATACCAAAACAAACAAGAAGAAAACACCTCAAAACCTCATCCATAGTTAAATGGATTTGATGCATTTAGGATGTACCTAAGGATATTTTGTACGAGGTTAAACTTTGTTCTTTAAAAAAGTGTTCTTTACAGGTTGTGAGAATGTGTTCCTTCTTGGAATACCTGCTATGCATGACACATACTTAACTGTCAGCCATAATGATTGTTGTGCAACATTTCTTACTCTGTTTCCTTGAACTTGCAGAATTCTATATTTAAAAGTTTAATTTCCACAGTTACAGTATTTAAGATTAGTATAAATCCTTAATTCATCATATTTTAGAATCTATAAAGTCTTTCTATATGCAATAAAACTTTCTGACTGACACAGCAGAAAGATGAATTTGTATTCTCTGTTGAATCTCCAGGGTATTCTCACGGTGGGCTGAAATGGGAGGGCTTTGAGTTTCTGATACATGCCAAATCTCTGGTCTTGGTAGAAAATCTAGGGAGTGGTACAAAGTGAGAGAAAGAGACTACATACGCAGAGATTAGTTAGGAGATCACTGCAATAGTGAAATCAACAGATAACAATGATCACCTTGGGTTGTAATAGGATGTCTATAGAAGTGGAAAGATCACTGGATTTTAGAGGTGTTTACTTCAAGGCTGAATTGACAAACTGGGGCTCAGACACAAAAATAAGCACAAGGGATAAGACCCAGGGGACTATTTTTTTTAAGCTTTCTTTCTCTGTACAGTGATGACAGTTAACAAAGATGGCAAAGGTAATGTGTTTGGATACCTCTTGTGAATGACTTTGGCCAATGCTGAAACACTGTGCAGCCCCAGAGATCTTTTTTCTCATTCTTTTGATCAGAGTTCAGGTTAGATGGCATATTTCAGGTCACTATATGTTAGAAGATAATGTTACCTGGCAGTACATTTCTGAGGCCCAAAGAGAGGTGTATGATGCTTTGCAAGTTTGTTACATCACCTTTTTAAGTAAATAATGAAAATAACTTTTTAGTCTTCAAGAGACCTATGAAGCCAAAAGACACGAATTCCATGGTGAGCGTCAGAGGAAGGAGGAGGAAATGAAGCAGATGTTTGTACAGCGAGTAAAAGAGAAAGAAGCCATACTGAAAGAAGCTGAAAGAGAGGCAAGTGTGGTTGTTTTGCAAGTGATGTGATTTGCATTTAGTTTTAGGTTTCATTTTAATTTGAAAGATTTATCTTAAGAATGTAGGTGAGAAATTTTTGAAGGCTGCATGTCTTTTAAAAAAATAGCTATTTTAATACATAGTCTTTGAATACTGACTTTTAAAAAAAATCATAGCCTGAAATCTAATTAAAAATCTTAGCCATTTGAGCAAATACTCTTTTTTTTTTTTTTTTTTTTTTTTTTTTTGTATTTTAACCATTACCAGGGATCAAACTCATGGCCACAGGCTTGCAAGGCAGGTGCTTTGCCACTGAGCTAAATCCCCAGCCCCCAAATACTCTTCTTTTAGAAATGGCTTACCAAGGACTTACAGTGGCATACATTACTAAAAGATATTCTAAATACCTTAATTATGGCTATCAACATTTTAGCCATAACTTAAGAAGACTTCTGAGAGTTGTTGAAGCATATGGATAACTGAAAGCTATGAAGTAGCTTTCTTTACATTTGAACTCCAACCTTCTAGCTACAGTTATGCGGTCTAGAAATGACCTTGGAATGACAGTGACACAAGAAAACATTAGTAAGTTTCCATTATTGTGTTTGCTTCTAGTTCTTCAAGTAATAATTTTAGTATTATTAGAGTTAAACTATTTTCTGTTGACCTATACAAATAAGTGCAGTGGTGGCTCTCAAGAAAATGGCTGCATTAAGTTGACGGTCATTTTGCTGCAAAAAGGAATTGTTAAGAAAAGGCAAATGTTAATATAAATTAATATTAATGATGTAAGAGTTCCTGAAAAGTTATCTGTAATTCAATTATGCAAATTTATTATTTCAAGAATACTTGTAGTACCTGGAATTAAATGAACTCCATAAGAAGTGGTTTTGTAAAAGTGAAAATATATTGATTCATTTGTAGTTTGAATTTTGATGTTTTATTTTGAAAAAGTTTTAGAAGTGAAAGCATAGTGATTCTCCCTTCCCATACCTAAGAAGATTAATAGAATACCATAATCTCTAACTCACATTTTAAAATACTTTGCCTTTTGTAGTTTTCCTAGAAGTCTTAATCACCCTCATGATGTATAAAGTACTCTCTAACTTTTTAGTATGCCTATAACATAGAAATGTCCATTTAAATAACACAAATGTGGTCTTTATTCATATAATGTAGGTCTGTCCCCTCTCATGCTTTTACCCTCACTCTGCTCCTCTTCCACACCAAAGGGCACACATGTCTCTCACTTATACCACTGATGTGTTATTTGGTGGGGCGTGGGGGGAGATGCTAAGGATTGAATCCCAGCCTGCATGTGCTAGACAAGTGCTCTGCCACTGTGCTTTGTACATCAGCCCCCATGCCACTGATTTGAATTATCACAGCGATTCTCATCCTTTTAGCACAGGCACTGAACACACATGTGTACTTGTCACATTATCTTTTCTTAAGCAGGAACCATTTAAGGAAGCTGTAGGTTCCTCGGTAGACCACAGCTGTACCGTGCTAAGGACCTAATGCTGCTCTGAAAAAGTGTCCTCTAGGAACAAAATACCTTAGGTTAGAAAAGGCCTTGCTTAATACTGTTTTAGCCTGATCGAGTATTGCTATCAGGAGCTCACTGGCCTATAAAATCACCACTTGGTAACATACACTTTTCATTAAGCTAGAATTTAGCTCTCTCTGGGTTTCTACCTTTGTTCTCTGTTGTTTAATGAACTGTTTCCCCAATTATCTTATATGATCTTCTCTACATACCAAGTCATACTTTTTATATGAATCCAAGGTTGCTACCTAGAGTAGTACTAATCCTAGGTTTATCTTACCAGATTAGAGGAGAAAAGCAAAGTATCTTTATTGGTCTAGGTTTTGCTGATGTATATGTGTTACTGACAGGTACAACCACAGCCTCCTATTGATGTGGAGCCCACTGAGGTCCCTAGGTGGTAGTTTGGAAGGTAGACCACAGTCTAGCCAGATCCACCTGACTCTGAGCTTCCTATGGCTCTCCCACACTCTGCTCTGTGTCTCATAACTGGTTCTCTTCCACATGTTATAGAGGGTGCTGGGGTGAAGAGAAAAGGCAGAGCTCCTAAGCAGTCCTCAAGGTGATGTTGCCCATATAGGTCCTCTGCAACATGAATTACTGAGACTTTCTTTGGCGGCCACAGGTAGAAGGGCCACAGGTAGAAAGATCTAACCTCTTCTTTTTTGTGTATCTGTGTGGGTTTTTGTTTTGTTTTGTTTTGTTCAGTTAATAATTACTAATGATTTTCAAATCTGTATTCTGTGCCACATATCATGATAAAATTTTGAGTACGTTTTCTAAAGCCCTCTCTTTCATTTGCTGGGCATTGTTTTTATCTGTTGTTTCTAAGAACTTTACAGCCTTCATACCCTTGAGAGATAAGCCCTTTTTGCTACATCTAGGGCATTCTTCAAACTGTGGCACAAAATGAAGTCAAACCCAAATGTACTTCTAAGGCACATTGCTCCTTCATATGATCTATCAAAATGGCTTTTAGCCCCAAGGAAATAAAAGTTTACTGGATTCTGTTCTTTATTTCCATTCTAAATTTATTCTTTTTGACTTTATTTCTGTTGGATTTGTGGAGTTTTTAAATGTAGTATAATATCTACTGCAGTGAGTATTTTTATATATAAAGCTTTCTCTTAATTTAGATGTCTTTTAGTTTTGTTTTCAAGAAATTTGAAATGACACAGGAAATGCAGGAAACTAAAACTGAGGCAGCAGTGCAAATTTACAGGCAAAAGCTTTGAGAAGAAAGAAAACATGGGAAGGAAGATAAGCTAAAGGGAATACCACTCTGATAGAGAAAATCAAGCTGGCTCATTTACACCAGATTTTTTGGGCATCTCTAGGGTAGGCTAGGGTCTGATGAGGATCTGATAAATTATGAACATGATGCTTCCTGAAACTTCTTCATGTTTGAAGGGATTTTCTTCCTATGTAAACTATGAGTTAGCAGCTGTTCTGGCCCTTGGAGACATCCTGGTCCTCTCTGCTCTCAGAGCACACCTGGTCCTTGCAGTAAGGTTAGATGGATAAGGGGAAGGTATGTTCCATACATTGTCAGCAAGGAAGGATAGAGAAAGACACATCTCTCCGTGGAAAGGTAAGGATCATAGGTTGCATTAGATAGAGTCCAGTAAATCCTCCTAAGGAGGAAATAGAGATCTCATCTCTCCTTAGCTGACCGGCGCAGCTCCCCAATGAGACAGGAGACGCTCTTGTGGGCGACAGTTAACTGCTGCTTTATTCACGCGGGCTCTGGTTTATATATTTGGCCATGACCAATCACAGGCTGCCACGAGGAAGCAGGGCGGGAATGGGATGCAGGCTCTGGCTACTATATCCAGCTGTGGCCAATCAGGAGTTGCCACAGAGTACGGAGTGAGCACGAAGTGCGCACGGGTTGGCTAATTTAAAGAGGGACGTAGCGCATTGCGGAAGCTGGCATGGTCCTTAGTCCCGGGTGGGGTATGGTATGCTGAGCGCCTGCGCCCAACACTTAGCCACAGGATAGGTTGTGTAGGTTTGCTGACTTATATCACAGAAAAGAATTACAGGACTCACTAGTTGAGGGGCACAGAAACATTTCTTAGGCAATAAAAAGAAGTGCAGGTGTCCTGAAGCTATAGTTTTCTTAAAAGTGCAATTTAGAATTATGATTTTCTGACCTTCTTTTTACTTACCTTTATTTCTGCTTTCCTACTTCAGATTAGAGGCCTGAGAATCCCTGTCTTTTGTTTCTAATTAGAATCACTTTCATACTTTAAATGACTGTAAAAATGTGATGCAGTTTTAAAGTTCATAACATAAACTAACAACTGACACTTGCTTTCCAATAGGGTTTCCCAGTGTAATTTTCAAAACTTTTCTCCTTACATATGTTATCTTTACATAGAAAATAAGTGCAGCTTTTTTCCTCTTAAATTCCTTCTGTGTTTTTATGTACCATATTGTTACTGAACATAGATTTGAGAAACTGTTAGACTTTATTGAAAAAATGTAAAACAAGAAACTAACCCTAGGGAAAGATCGAATTTTGTTCATGAGGCTATAGTTTTTATTACATTTAGTTCAAGCAATTTTTGCAGGAAACTTCTATAAAATTAAGTTGCCAAGGCTGTTGTGCCTGTGAACTGTTGCTTGAAGCAATTTGAGATTGATTGTTGCTCACCAGAGCATATTCCTGTGTGTGTGCTGTCACCTGGTGCCAGCAGTTGGAATTTCACTTTTGTGTCACAGCTGCAAGCCAAATTTGAGCACCTTAAAAGAGTTCACCAAGAAGAGAGGATCAAACTTGAAGAAAAGAGAAGAATTTTGGAAGCAGAAATAATTGCTTTCTCTAAAAAGAAGGTTGCCTCTGAGATACTCCAGAACCAGTCCTTTCTGGCATCAGGTATCGGCATGAAGAAGGACAAGGATCGTAAGAAGTAAGAATCCCTGCATCTGCAGACCCACCCTGCACCTTCTGTCTCCTGATCCTGTTTGTTTTTGTTTTCTTGGGTGATTGGCTTGTTCTTGTATGGTTCTAGAACTCAAACCCAGAGCCTGGTGCATGGTAGGCAGGTGTTGTACCACTGAGCCCTCAACCAGCCCTCCTGGCCCTGTTTGATCTTCCTAGCACCTCTGTTTACCTTCTCCGTATCCACCTTCTGCACTGTCATTGCACCTCCTGGACACCTCACTCCTCTCACTCACTGCTGTTTTCCAGCAGCTGAAACAGCTCCTGGTATAAATTAAATGCTCAGTAACTACTTTTCAAAACGAATGAGTGAATAAAATAAAAACACATTGTAGTACAAAAGAGTCAGTTAGCTGGGGAAAAAACAGTCTGTTCTTACTTCATAGCCCAGCCTTAGCTCTAAAACTCAGCTAGTGACTATTGGCTTACCTTGAGCTGTTTTGAATTTTGTGTATAAATGGTAATTGCATTTTGTTGGGGAATCATTGAAATAAAACTATAGTCTACATTAAAGAATCCTAATTCTTAGGCTCATTTTTAACCAAATTTATTAATCATTGACTTTTCTGAGAACTTTTGTTTTTATAAGGAAACCAGGCTCTTGATTAAAGTGCAGTACTTTGATGTTAGAGCTTGTGAAACCAGAAGCAGAAGATTCTGGTAATTTTTTATTTCCTATATTGTTTTTTATTGTACTAATTAAAAGGGTTTTTTTTTCTTTTTCTAGCTCCAATTTTATGTAACCAGAGTGCAGAGTTCCAGAGTGCAGAAGGCCATCATAAGCAAGAGTAAACTGTTATGAGTGTGCTTTGATTTTCTTGTTTTTATTTGTCACCACTGATTCTATATATATCTGGCAGATGGACACAGTCACTGACATTTATGGTAAAAGATTTTCAAATGTGAGAGTAATACATAAGTCAGAATGAATGATACTACTTATGTATTCACTGTTGATAAAGATTTCTAAGTTGCTATTTTGCAATAAATCTAGATGTCTTCTCCTTTGCCAGGTTCTTGTCATTTTGCATACATTATACCAAAGAGCAAGATTTAGTGCCACTGAAAGTGCAGAGCACTTTCCCATTATTTGTATTCCAAAATGAATCTTTTTTGCTAATACACTAAACAAAAAAATTGGGGGAATATATTTTGGAATGGATCATAGCTAAACTCTAGCCTCTCAAAAGTTTTATAGAGTTAATTTTTTACACAGTTGACAAGTAGTATCCTAAGCTTTAACCACATTTATGCTTCAGTATCCCTTATTGTGGTTGGCATCTTACTTTGATGAAACATAATATCTTCAAAAGCTTAAAACATCTAGGTCTATAGACCTCAATTTCCATTAGTCTATCTTAAATACTTGTTTGAAACTCTATGTTTGAGGGAAAAGTAAGTTGAATAATTTTTACTAGATTTCTTAAGACAATAACTATGAACATTTTAATGTTAAATATATAACAAGTCTGATTATTCATGTTTTATGGGATATTTGTATTCAGTGCCTAAGCATTCACAGAACATCTTAATAGATTCTAACTTTTTAACAGTCATAGGTATACACATTTTCCTTTTTTGTACTTGGATATTCTAAATAAAACTGATATTCTTGACAAAATATGTCTGCATGTTTCCTAAAATGTGTTTATTGTTTTATTTTTATTTAACACGTAATTTACATTTTTATGGGATACCATGTGATATTTCACTACTTACATATACAATGTATAATGACCAAATCATGGTAATTGGCATATCATTTACCTCATACTTTCTTCACTGTGTATGTGTTGGAAACTTTCAGAATCCTCTGTACTTGGTACTTAACTATTGTCCACCCTTCTGTGGACAATCATCCTGCTGTAGACTGTTGGAAGTTACCTACTAACCAACTGCTCTCCTATACCCATTAGTTATTCTCTCTTCATTCCTCCATTTCCCAAATGCTTCCCAGCCTTTCCTCACCTCCGTTATTTACCTCTATGAGACCAACCTGGTTAGTTTATGCATATGCAGGATAACATGCAGTACCTATCTTTCTGTGTTTGATATCACTTACCATAATGTCCTCCTGTGTTGCTGTGTTTCATACTTAGGGCTATCTAATATTATGTTGTGTATATGTACCATATTTTCTTTATCCATTCATCCATGGAAGGGTACTTGAGTTGATCTTTATCTTGACTGGTGACCACAGCTACATAAAACATGTGAGTGCACATGTTTCTTGATGTGTTCATTTCCTTTCATTTGGCTTTTTTTTTCTTTTTTGGTATTGAATGATTTGGTTTCCTTACAGATGCCAGATACTAGTCTCTTTTGAACATAGTTCTCTCTGCTAACTTCTAAGGGGCAGTCTTTTAACTCTGTTGATCAGTTCCTATGCTGTGTAGGAATTGTTAGGTTGATGCAATGCCATTTCAATTGTTGCTTATACTTTTGGGGTTATATTTAAAAATTCTTTTCCCAGACTGATGACCTAAATTGATTCACCTGTGTTTTCTTTTGGTGGTTTCATAAAAACGTAAAACTACTTTTTCTTTTTTTGCTTTGATTTTGGTATACATGGCAGGTGATTGGGTGTGGTTTGTTCTTCCTATGGATATTTAATTTTCCCAGCACTATTTATTAAAGAGATTGCCTTTCTCTCCAATGAATGTTTTGGCAGCTCTGAAAAAAACAAATTGGCTGTAAATATATGAATTATCTCTGGCAACTGTGTTATGTTTCATTAGTGTAAAAATCTGTTTTTAAACCTGTATCATTGTTTTGTTAAATAGTATTATTTGAAGTCAGGTACTTGTGATGACTCCATCTTTATTCTTTTTGCTCAGGATTGCTTTGGCTACTTGGGATCTTTTCTGATACTGTATGAACTTTACAAGTGTTTTTTTCTAGTTCCATGAAGAGTAGTATCATTGGTATTTTGATAGAAATTGTTTTGAATCTGTCGATCAATTTGGGTAGAATGGACATTTTAACAATATTTTTCTAATCCATAAGGTGATATCTTTTCATTTTTGTATGTATATTGTCTAAAATTTCTTTCACCACTGTTTTACAGTTTTTACAATAGGAATTTTTCATTTTCTTGATTAAATTTATTCCTGGGGAAATTTTGTAGCTATTATAAATGGCATTGCTTTCTTGATTTCTTTCTAGCTACACTATTACTGGTGTGTAGAAATGCTACATATTTCTGTATCCTGTATCTTTCTCTTTAAAAGATATAGAAACTTAAAGTAGTCTGTTTTCAAGATAAGGTCTTTAACTCTTGAGTGAAAAACTATTTTGCTGAGGACATGACTGAGGTCATGCTTCTGAGAGTGTCTCTAAACAAGGAGGGGAGGATAGATAAGTCAATAAAATATGAAACTTATTGTGCTAACTCTGATTGGAAGAGCACTGGCAGTTAAGAAGTTACCTCCTATAGTTTAATCATTTACTTTTAAAACCAGCAAAATATTCACAGAGGAAGCAGGGTAAAGTTAGGCACCCTATTCTAGATTGTGTAGGTCTGTTAAGCTGGTACCCATTCTTGCAAGTTTGAGAAATAAAGTTTCACTTTTGCTACTCCCAGTTCCTTTATATATTTCTTTCACACAATCAAAGGTGGGGGGATTGGCTTCTCATATCATGTGTGTTTGTACATATGGACTCTTAAATCGTGTCATCTGCAGGGTTAGAGACTTAACTCCTTTTCAGTTTGCTTGCTCTGTATTTCTGTTGCCTAATTGTCTGCTAGAACTTTCATCACTGTTTTGTATATTAGTGGTACAGTTGACATTTTTGTCTGATTTCCAATCTTAAAGGAAATGTTTTCAGCTTTTTCTCATTCATAATATTACCTATGAGCTTGTTATACGTAGTATTAATTGTATTGAGATATGTTCCTTCTGTACCTGATTTGTTGCAAGTTGTTGTGAAAGGGTGTTGAATTTTAAGTGCTATCTCTGTATTTGTTGGAATAGCCACTGTACTAATTGAGTTTTGTTGCTCATTACTGGTGTGTCTTCTGTTTCCTCCTGTTCAGTCTTGGTGGATTATATATGTCTAGGAACTAACCCAATTCTTCCAGGCTTTCCACTTTCTTGGTGTGTGGCTGCTCTTAGTAGTTCTCAGTGATCCATTGTATCTGTGGTTCCTTTTCATCCCTGGTTTTGTTGGACTCTTCTTTTTTTCTTATCTTAGTTAAAGATTTGTTGATTTTATGTATTTCTTTATTTCAAAACTGTTTTGGGGGGGTTAAATTTTATTTTGGGGTTTGTTTTATTTTTTTAAAAATCCTCCATTTCATTTATCTTTGCTCTGAGATTTATTATTTCTTCACTTTTACTAATTTTTAATTTGGTTTATTCTAATTCTTCCAGTTGTTTTTATTTTATGTTTTTCAATTTTTTATGTAGATATTTATTGCTATAAGCTTCGTTTTTTAGTATTGCTTGTATTGTATCATGTAGTTTTCAGTAGTTGCATTTTCATTTTCATTTGCTTAAAGAAATCTTTAAATTTTCCTTTAAATTTTTGTTAGCATGTTCACCATTCAGGGCAAGTTTTTAATCTCCATGTATTTGTACAATTCTTTTTTTTTTTTAATTGAAAGAGAAAAAACTAAACGAAGCAAGACAGTAAAAGGCTAGAAGCAACACAGAATTTCAAGAGAAAAAACATACAGTAAGAGTTCACCAGTTAATAGATCACACATTGTTAACTTACAAACAGCTGTCCAGATTACAAAATTAAAGCATACAAAGTGGAGATTAATATAGTGAGACTGGTCAGTTCTGTTCAATGATCCAAGAAAAATTCAGCAATATGGTTCTCTTTCCTACACATTTAAATAAACTTGCAGTTATATCCTTGAGTGTCGGTGTCACTCCCGGCCGGCAGGAAGGACACACAACAAAGTCTGGCAGTGGACAACCTTTTCTTTTATTTTCCTTCTCCGTACAGCCTGCCCCGGGAATCCTCCCGGCCGAAGCCTCTGTTGGTCCGCTCCCCGCGGCTCCTTGCGTGCTTCTCCCTACAGTCTGTCCCGAAGCCTCTACCGGTCCGCTCTCCGCGGCTCCTTGCGTGCTTCTCCCTACAGTCTGTCCCGAAGCCTCTACCGGTCCGCTCTCCACGGCTCCTTGCGTGCTTCTTCTGCTTCTTTTGCTTCTTTTCTCGTGGCGGGAGAGGCACTCACTTTTATAGGGTTACAGTGGCCAATCAGTTCAAAGCGCGCGATGCGGGCTGATTGGCTAACATCAGTTGTTGCTAGGCAGACTATCTTACAGGGCGGGTTGTGAAGCAGGAGATCTTACAGGGCGGGTTGTTTACCAAGCAGGAAGCAGGAGATCTTACAGGGCGGGTTGTTTACCAAGCAGGAAGCAGGAGATCTTACAGGGCGGGTTGTTTACCAAGCAGGAAGCAGGGGATAAGCGCCATCTTAGCACACTCGATGGGAGGGGTAATCTAGCTCAGGCTTTGCTCTTTCCTACAGGCCTCACGTCCGCCAAGTAAGGCGACCGGGCTCGGCCGCGGCTCCCAACATCTCCCCCTTTTTTATTTTTTATGAATGTGCGCATCGTAGCCCTTCCTGGACTGGGTGCAGAGGCTTATGCCCTATGCGTAGGCCCACCGTAGGTCCTTGGCTTAGACCCTGGTCGGCCGTCCCATGGTCTGCCAAGGCCCTGAGGCCCTCGTCCTTTTTCTAGGGCCAGGCACAAACTGGACGGAACCTGGATGCACACAAGCTTGCACTCATTTCCTCTCCGTAAAGAAATCCCCTCGGAGAGAAATTTAGACCTGGGCAGCATCTAACAGTCCAGCGGCTTACGTGCAGGATGGGGTAGGGCCTGGCTTAGGTTGAGTCGCACCGGGGGAGTACGCTCTTACCCGTCATTGACTCTCCTACCCAGCTATGTCATAACTTTTTAGAGGAGGAGTGTGGGAAGCTCACCGCCCCTAGACTCGGTCGTAGGCTAGGCGAGCGAGCCATGCATATGCCTGAGGATCTTTTTGTCCATTTTGGGCTACCGCTATTTCTATTCATCTTGTTGGTTGGTCTGTGATGGATCTCCGGTAGGGCAGGTCTGATCTTCAGTAGAGGGCTTTGTTGCCCGTGTCAGTCTCTCCGGTACCCACAGTGGTTCTCGTCCCGGTTCCTGTGGGAAAACACAAACCGCGCCTCGGTTCCAGCTAACCACCGGATCCGGGCCCATCCATTGTCCTGTTAGGACATCTTTCCATTTAACCCACCCTTTATGGTTGGGGGAAGGGTTGCAGTGCTCCATAGCTGGGGAGCAATTATCATTATTTAAATTTAAAAAATTGTGTGTGAATAGTGCCATGGATAATCGTGCCTTTGGGGCCAGGCCTTGGCCTACTCCCCCTTTTTGTTTTTGTAAATGGTATTGATCTGCTCATAAACTGCACCAGGGAACTGAGTCTGATCATCAGCGTGTTGGCCTTCCCCCATAAGCATGTCTCTATTCCACCCCCGGTTCCCTCGGTTAGCGTTTCTTTCCGCCTGTTCGGCAGCGAACTCAGCGTACCAGGCTCGCCAATCCAGGTAACTACCCGAGGGCAGACACGCCTTTGCCAGCTGAGTCCAGTCCGCGGGGGTGAGGGGCCCAG